AGGCACTCTTCCTAGAGAGAAGGCAGCTTAATCCCACTTGGGTGACAGCTTCAGTGTCCTGAGGCTCCTTGGCTTTTCTTTACCTGCAGGCACAGCTGTGTTCCTGCAGAAGTCGTGTGCACAGAGGGACGAGGAGCCTCACTGCAGCCGTGGTCAGTGCTGTGCACAGACGCCCATTGTTAAACCCAGTTAAGTTCTGGCCTGCCAAGTGCTAACTAGGGGAGGTATAATCTGATTTTTGTCATATGCCACCTGCTCGAGCGAGCAGCCAAGTGCTGCCGCCCTCCCACCAGCAGCAGTCTGTGGCAGACTGTGAACTCTGGGCACAGCCAGACTGGGTGCACATACTCAGTCTTTCCAGTTCCAGAGTCCAGGTGGATTTTCTTCTCCTTGGCCCTTGCCAGGGTGAAGATGTGGGATCACATTGGAAATCTGGCTGCAGTATGGGCCTGAATCTTTCTCTACATTTATTTTTTTTTGCAAGAGTATTCTGATAAAGGAACAGCAGAGCATCCCAGAAATCCTCTTTTCTTAGCAAAAAGGCACCTTTTCTGGTCTGCACGTGCTGAAGCTGCATATGTTGTCTGGGTCTCGGGGAGGGAAAGCAGCACTTGGGTCATTCACTCAAAACGCTTGCCAGTAGTGTGTGAAAGTCACCACTCTTTACCATGAGGCCCTCTAACACAAAATGTTTTGTTTTGTTTTGTTTTCCTGTATCTGTCAGGATTTGGATGCAGAGGTGACAGAGCACTCCTTGTGCAGCCCCTGGTGGGGAACCTTGCAGTGAGAAAAGCTCACAGAGCCAATAGACAGGAGGAAACAAATCAAAGCTGTTTAAAAGCTCATGTACCAGAATTTCCTGTCCCTACAGAAAGAAAGCATCAGCCATGAGGAATCTGGCATCTGAAATATATTTTCACAGTATCTGTCAGTGATGAAAATGGTCAGACCAGTAGGACTGGAGAAGTAAAGTCTTCTATTGTAAATTTATTCTCTTGTCACTATTATCTTTCTGTAATCTAAAACCACAATTGCTCAGGCCAAGTTAATTCAGATTTCAAACCCCCTTTTCCAGAATTCAGGAAGAAGCAGGTCTGTCAGCAGGAGCAGTCTGATGGTGAGATGTGGGAGGCTGCACTTACACTGTGGCCAGCAGGCACAAGCCCTCTGGGCCATCTGCAGTCTGTGCTGTCTGCACTGGAGCTACAGCATATGAAATACCTTTCTCAGGCTGCAGGACTCGATTGCAAAGTTTGTTCTGATAATTTCTCCATAAACAAAGACAAGATTTGCCAAATAGGAAGTAGCTTTTATTTGTTTTGGGTAACTTCAACCCCACTTTCAGAGGAGCAGCAGAAAAATGCATTGCAAGGCACCCTAAGCTCCTCTGTCCAAACCTCAGGAGCTTGTTCTAGTAGGAAGAGCTGTAAGAAAAAGAGAAAAGCATAACCTGTTGATTCAGATAGTTTAATGGTTAAAAACTGCTCTTGTGCTGTTGTTTGAGGTGTACTTTTGCTACCTGCAGGTGGACAGAGCTATGACCTCAAGCCTGGATAGTGGTGGACTGATCTAATGACAGTGAGCCAGAAAAGGCAGGAGAGGATTGATTCATGTGGAGGAAAAGGCTGGCTTAAAGCAGGCAAGGAAAGGATCTATTATTTCCTTCTTGGTGATGGGGGAAGAGAACACTGGTCAGGCTCTGTGATGTTGTTTTTTTGGTATTTTCAGCCAGTAAAACAAAGATTGCCATCTCTTGGTTTAGTCTTTTAGTAACAATATTTCTCCCCCTTTTAAAACCCTCCTCCTTTGCCCATACTGCACAGACTGAGAGAATAAAGCTGAACACTATGTCAGTTCTCTTACTGAGTTTGTCTTCCCACAGCATGGCCAATTTGCATCTGATAGTTCTCAAGCCCTGGAGGTTTCTGTAACTCCCTCCAGGCTGGTAACTACATCACTAAGTTGAGAAACATGAACTTTTCAGGATACAGGTCCTTGCTAGCTACCTGCAATGACACAGTTCTCTTCTGATATCCATTCTCTCTCTGCAGTGTATCTTCCCACACGGGCAGTCCCCAGGGAATGACAGGAGAAGGTGTCAATCAGCATCAGAGTGCTGCAGGTCTGACTTTTGGTGTAGGAACTTGAAGATACCTCTGGAATTTCTCAGCTGAGGAAGCTTACTGCTCAGTGGTGTCCTGGGGAACACATTAAAGTGATCCTAACTCTGTTCCTGCTCTAAGAAAGTCAATTTTAGTATCTAGATCAGCTTAGCAGAAAGAAAAAAAAAAAAAAAAGTAGCTCCTTTGTCTCAGCCTCATATACATGTTGTATATGCTCATTAACATATAGTAATAAACCACACACAGGAAATTTACTGTAATGTTCACTTACTGTAAGTCATTGTCCTAGTGACTTAAAAGTGTGTCATCAGTGGAGGGTCAGGGTGACATGACTTGTTTATCAGTGGTACTGAAGAGACAGGCTGACTCCTCTCCCTCAGGCTCAGCTGCTGAACTAGGGAAGAGGCAGGAATAGGTGTGGGAGGTTTAGTTACTTGGCACATTGCTAAAGCCAAGCCCTCATGGGAAATGTTTTCTTGTTTTTGACCTCCTGGCAATGCTCCTGCACCTTCTCAAAACGCTGGTTCTACTGGCACTAAACCTGCTGCCTCTGTTTTTAACACACCTATGTGATAGGAGTTTCAAGGTGGTGCAGGAGGTGACACAAAGAGCGAGAAGCCCAGTCCCCGTTTCTCTGCTAAGGAGGCATCAATGTCTCTTCCTACATGGAAGAACCTATGTGAACAAACACTCAGTGCAAGGCCCCTGGCTCTGTGTGGAAGCTCTGCTATGACTTAGAGGTGATTTCTGCAAAGGCTTTGGTTGGCAGGACAGCTGGACTATGCAAAATGTGCAGTGACAGCTCTGTGCTTTCTTCGCTACCAAACAGCAGACACCTAATCACTGCAAAGTGGGATCTCCATGAAATGAGAGCAGAATGCAGGTAGGGGTCCTGAACTTACCTTGCTTGGCTTCTGAATGAAACTGTCTCTCCTCGGACCCATAACAGCCAAACCTTTAAATGTGATAAGAATCTTAACTCCCTCTACCTTTTGCATAAATTGGGTGTCTAAGTATCCCTTAGATTCTGTGCTTTACTGACCCCTGCCTGGCATGGATTTGAATCAATAACAAAGCCAAAAAGAACTTTGTGTTGCATCATTACTTGTCCTTGCTTTGCTCCTTGACCTTTTAGCAGATGACTCTGGCATCCTTGCTTCCAACTGTTTTTTACAGTTCTTGTCAAAATATTAATCCAGGACATGTTATATGGTGAGTAGGACTGGGGCGTTTGGAAGGCCCCAACAATTAATCTCCCTCATAGCCAGAAGGAGAGCGATAGATTCATGAAGGTCAGGTCAAAAATTTAGTGTTCTAGTCTGGGCAAGATTCTGTCTTTTACTCCATAAGTGGTTTAATATGGCTTACATTAAGAATCAACAAAAAATGGTTACCTGCTAGTGATGGATCTCCTGTTAGGAGTGTGGAAAATTACATCTATTTATAGCTTGAGTTTACCTCTGAGGGAGACCTATTGCACAGATAGAATTGTATTTCTCTCTTAATTCATCAGCTGTTAGTAATTACATCCTGCATTTTTGCAATGGAAAAAATGAATCTGGCTATTGAAACTGCACTTAAATCGTTGGGGGAGAGGAAATTACAATGCAAATAGTATTGATCTTGTAAACAACTTTAATTCACTACTTCACTATTCATTAATTAAATAGTATCTTCAAAAAACACATTCTGGAAAATGTAGCAGCCACACTGAAAGCAGTGCTGGTCATATTAGCTTAAAGTATCTCCTCTGGCATCTCAGCAGTATTTAATTTGTAAAGGGTTCAGACAGTAAGCAGTTGAGGTTGTCAGCTGACAGCTGAGATGGATGCTGACTTCCCCTCCTTGTGGGAAGGTGTCAGCTTGTACTCTGTGCTTTCAAATAATCTCTTACAAGAGCAGTATTCTTGTTCAGCTTCTATTTTGAACACTTTTTCTAAAAAAAGACAACTGCAGTTCCTCCTGTCTCCTTTTCCTCTTTGCACACTCCACAGTTGCCCACTAGTGGTATGGGATCCTCCAGCAGATATGGTGGATTTCCACATCACCCTCCAGTGCTATAGCCTCAAGTGACTCGGTCAGAATCCATGTGCCTCATTCTTCTCTGGGGAGAGTTACAGGAAAGATTCTCAGATATGGTAGTCTGATAATCCTGTCCCAGTGAAAGCTAAACAAAGCCACCATTTACAATGGCAAGGTAAGGTAGAAAAGGAGTTTTTTTATCATTGTTGTCCTGTTTTCTGCTAAGTGGAGATAGTTTCAGTGAAGAAAATTGGTCAGCTTGACATGTGCGAGGCTTGCTGCCCTCTCCTGGTGCCATCCGCCGCCATGCACTGAATCTCACAGCTGTGCCTTAGGTTGAGGTCTGTCCCTTCTGAGATGATGAGTCCTGCAGGAGTGGAGGGGAGAAGCTGCTTTATAGATGGAATTGATTATTTTAAACAGCACTGCTTTGGTTAGGATCCATTGAGCTGGATTAATTCAAGCAGGCACAGCTTTTGAACTGTCAGCTGCAAAGGCGACAGTGTTGATCAGGGTCTCTGAGTCTGCAGGTGATCCCCTGCAGTCTTCTGACTGTGACAAATGGACTGGAACTCAACACTGCTGAGTCTTCTGGCTACTCTTGCCCAATTTTATGGGAGGGTTAGCACTTGGTGTGCTTTTTGTTTATCATCATGGGAAATGGCATCACGGCCCATCAGAACACACCAGTTACAGATGAAAACTTACAGCCACGTTTTGGTGCACCTTGCATTTTTAGTCAGCACACCTCAGCCTCAGCATTCGATGTGAAGCAGTCTGCTCACCATGTAGGTGACTGACCAGGCAGGTTACTCACCTTGCAGAAATAGTGTGACTCCTGAGAACTACTGCAGCTCAGCTCGTTGGGTCGTGCACAACAATCAAAGGCAGCAGCTCTCCACAGCGGGAATGCAGTTTTAGGGATGCAAAGTGATCTAACCTCGTGGGCCCAATGTTAACAATGGCAATTGGCAGCTGCCTCTCCCGGGCAGCAAGAGCAAACCTGTAACCGGAGTATACCTGCAGGAACACCAGAAGACAGAATTACTGACAGCTTAGGCAAAAGAATTGCTACAGAATGGAGTAAGGGAAGTAAAGCAGTTGCAGTTGGCAGTGGGAGAAGGGACTGTATGTACGTGCTGTGTGAGGCAACTGCACTGAGTTCAGGTAGAAACTTCTTCGTTCAGGAGTGCACAGGAAAGAACAGCTTTTAACCTCTGTTAGTGAAGGATTTGCAGTTTCACAGAAACTTAAACTCCACAGTACATTGAAGGGAAATGTCCTTGTCTTTTAGTAAATCTCTGCAGCAGTTTTTATTAGTTATCAATGGTACTTAAATGCTTCTACTTTGACAGTTCCCACATGGCCCAGCTTAGGTAGTACAAGAATGAACCTAAGACATTTCAATCATTCCTGTACAAAGGATTATAAGCCTAAGAAGTGCAAACTCAAGGAATTTTTCTCCAATATCTTGAAACCAAGAGAAATGCAATCAGGCAGCCTTGGTATTATCTTGTTCTGGGAGGTGTTAGAGTAGGGTTTTTTAATGTAACAGAGCTTGTTCCTGGAAAAACTTCTCACACAAACTCTATGCCAAAAGCTTCCATGGGTGAAACAACAGGTTTCTAAACTACCTTACGTTATAGATAAGAGGCCAATGGAGAAAACACATTGTGATACAAATCCTAAGCAGCAAGCAGAGATATTCCTGCTCTCTTATTGAGAATTTAGTTAGGATTTATTTGTCCTAAAACCTGGTATTCCTCAGTGTGTGCCATGAGGCCTAGAAAGCTGCCAAAGGCTAAAAAAATCAAGTAAAAAAATGTGGGCTGGTGATCTCTGCAGGACTGAATTGTATCAGGCTTTATGGTCAGCTGTGAACCTACAGTGTACTGATGGAGGAGGTAGCAGAGAGAGGTCTGAATGGGGCTATTGAGAGCAGGGAAGTAGGCTAGCAATGGAGTGACAGGACAGCCCAGACAGGCCAACCGTGAAGCCAGACTGCAACCACAGTAAAAATAAAACACAGAGAAGCTCTGGAGAGGCTGCTCTGATGCATATACAATTAGCAACCCTAAACTGTGGAACCAAGGATTGTTGCAGGCAGAGCAGCACAGAAATAGGAATGCAGTGTGGGAGGAAGAGCTTCTCACCTGCATAGAGGATCCTGCCACCAGCATGGAGTCTGATTCCGCTAGGCGCTGGTGCACAAAATTCACTTTTTCCCGGCTCACTGTGTCTCCAAAGAATGTTACGTCAGGCTTCAGGATCCCACCACATTTCTGGCAGGCTGGGACCTGGAAATGGCGCACCTGCTCGTCCGTCAGGAAGACATCCCCATCTGGAGCCACACCAAATGCTTCAGCTTTCCAGGCAGGGTTCAGAGCTTCAAAGTGCTTCTGAAGCTCAGAGCGCAAGATTTGGTCTCCACAGGCCAGGCAGAAAACCCTGAAATTCAGAGCAAAGTCTTAACATAAAGTTTCATCACAGTTGCAGATCTGAAGTCTGTAACTCGTCCCTTAGAAGGCCTAGCAGGTCTGTCATCATTATCCACATTTATTTACCAAACAGTACAGGTCAAGGAGCTGTCTTTCTACCTCCTATCATTGCTTTATAGGAATGCTCCAGGGGAAGCACTTTGAACCTTCCCTCCCAGTTCAGGTTATGCTTTTCATCTGGAAACTTTGGGTGATCACAGCCAGGCTGTGGTGGCCCTTCTTCAGTCCATTTATCCTGTGCATTTCTGGCACTCTGCTTAGCCCTGGATAACCCTTGCATCCTCAGGGTCCCCTTGTCCTCTCCTGTAAGAGGACATTTGCTGTAGCAAGGAAAGGGGAAATTCTGATGCAAGCTCCAAGGAAGATGATCTAAATGACGCTTGAAAAAACTTGAGTGGTGTTCCTGTTTCTTAAATAGTGCAGACAGCACTGTTTTGAGGTCTTTATCTTCATCCTAGCCCAACACCACCTTCAGCCGTGCCATCTTCAGGAACAGAGCTTTGACATCTCGCACCTTTCTCAGCAGCTCACGCTGCACCTGCCTGTCAGTCACCCTGAAGGAGCTGCTGGAGGATTAAGCACCCCCTCCACCACAGAGAGCGAGAGTACCTGTGCGTGCAGCCGTGCAGCTCCGTCACCCGCCGGCTCCCGGCTTTGCTGTGCAGGGCATCCACGTTCTGGGTCACCAGCCAGTGCAGCTTCCCCACCTTCTCCCAGTCTCTCAGTACCAGGTGTGCTGTGTTTGGCTGGTGAGAGGAGAACTGGGGCCAGCCCACGAAGTTCCTCGCCCAGTAGCGCTGGCGGGCGCTGGCGCTGCGGATGAAGTGGGCGTGCTGGAGCGGGCGCCGGTCCGTCCGGGCGTAGAGCCCCACGCCCTCCGAGCGGTAATCCGGGATCCCCGACTCCGTCGAGACGCCAGCCCCCGTCACCACAAAGAGCCTCCTGGCCTTAGAGACAAAGTGCTGCAGCTTCTCGACTTCCACGGGATCCGGGGGAAGACAGGCCGGTACGAAAGCCAGGTTTGGAGAGGGTCCGGATGCAGAGTGGGATCTGAAATGGTGGAATCTGAGGGCTCTGCAAACTCCAGACAGCTTCCTGGCAGAGAACATGTTCAGCTAAAAGCCAAGAAAGAACACATGGCAGGTAAAAGAAAATGAAGAGCGTGTCCTTAATCCCATTTTTTGGCGGATTATCTAGAAAATTATGCTGATAAATATTCTTTGCTCTTTTTCCTTTCTAGTAAAAAACACAAATTATTTTGGAAATGTTGACTAAAGGACAACACTCGTGTGTCCCTTTGACAGAGGGCAAATCTGAGGATGGCTCAGGGTACAAGGACAAAGTTAGCACCCCTGACTTGCAGGATTCCTGCTCTTCTCTCCTGGTATGAAGGATGGCTGCCCACAAGGACTTTTAGAGAGCCCAGAAAGACCTAACCATGCAAAGTCCTTCCCAGGTATGTGCAACGGGGCAGAGAAGAAACACAGGGAAGGCCAAGCACCCTTCCCCAGAGGCACTGTCTGGCCAGAAGAGACCTTTGCTCTGCTTTCTTTAGCATTCTGCCTGCTCCAAATCAGTCCTTTCTGCTTACCCCATCTTCTTCAAACATTGTAGGAAGGGAGAGAAAAAACCTTGAAATGTTGCTTTTCCAGGACAAAGGCATTGCCTGGAGTTACTCCTGTGGGCTTTTTTTATAAAGGCCTTGTGCAGAACAGGCCTTGAAATGGGACTGAAGGTTGTTAGGACACTGCCTAAATGCCTCTGGCACCTCCTCCGTTGTGGCTGCCCCCTCCCCAGAGTCAGTGGAGAGGTGTGTGTGCTGGGGTACTGCTTTGCTTCTCCAGCAGGAACAGGGGGCTTTGCTGAGAGGGAAGGGGTCACCCAGATGTGTGATCTGGGGGGCAGAAACAGCTGCCTGGCAGGTAGGAACGGGAGGGATACCGTGCTGTAAGGGAGGAATGGCGTGCCCTCCTGGCACAGGCAGGATGGCTTTGCTGACAGGTAGCCAGCCTGGAACTGTGTGCAGGACCTCTTGTGACAGTGCATTGGTTTGGACTTTGATTTTGTTTGGTCCTTCTAGCAGACTGCAGCTCTCCTTTCTCCATTTCACTATTTTAAAACTAATTTTTCTGTGCCTCTTTATGGTTTTGCATACACAGTACAAAAGATTTGAAAGAAACGTTACTGGGAATTGACTGTCTGGTGTTTCTCCCTCCCTCCAGCCCCTTAGCAAGGGGGCTTGTATGAGATCTGGAAGAAAAACTTTAATTACTGATTAAAAGGAAAGATCTCTAAAGAGTGATTGCAGCAGGCCCCAGATAATCCAGTGCTTAAAGCTTGCTTGGTAACGTGGGACATTTGGTGCAGGTTCATGTCCACTCACACTTCCATCCTCACCATCACAAACTACTGGGAGGATGCCTAAGGGGAGTGGGTCTCACTGGGAGCCCTTAGCCAGCCCAAGCAGATCCCTTTCCCATATTAGAGGCAGTGGTTTGAAGGAGGGCTCTGTGCAGCTTCTTAGCTCTGAAAAACCAAAGCACCAGGGCAGTTTTGTAAATGCTGCCCACAGGAAACTTGCAGTGCCTGAGAGATCTGTGGCAGCACCAGAAAGTCAGAGGTATTCAAGTGTGAGCTCATTTGTCTAAAAGGCTGGTGCCAAAGCACTTCTGACTACCTGTGGTTCACTGCCAGGATGGTTTTTAGACTCCTGCTGCATCTAAACGCCTTTGCCTCAAGTCCCTGGTCCCCCTCAAGTACCAGTTCTTACAGGAAATGGAGCAATATTTAAATACACTTGAAGTTTGGGTGTTCAGCTGTAAATATCGTGCTAGTAAACTGATGCAAGTGGCAAAGTGATCTGCCTCAGTTAATCTCCAGTTCTCAAGGCTTTCTGTCCTTATCAGTTGAATTATAGGGAGGACTGGATTCCCTCCATAGCCTGAATTACTTTTTCAATCTAAGCAGTAGATTCTGTTTGTGATGATTTTTGCCTTGTTTTCCTGTTTAGCAGGAGTTGTGTTGGTCACTCCCTCTGAAGAGGTTTGGTTTTCCATATGAATTAATTCAAGGGACAAAGTCTCCCAATAACCTGTAATTTGCTTTGAGAACACTGCTGTCACAATGCTCCCCAAAGGCTGTTAAACCATTTTGACAGTATTTAAATTGCTTTAACTGATGAGAATCCTCCATTCCTGTTCATGATCATCAAAAGCTCTCAGAAGGAAATGCTCTGAGGGGGGAGTTAAATGGAGATATAATATGGAGTGGCCCACAAGAGACAGGAGACAGTGGTAGTCCCAGCAGCAAAAAGAAAGCTAGGTTTGAGAGCTGCTGTGAAGCAGCAGTGTAGGAGAGAAATGTACAGAGCATTTCCTGTGAAATGCAAAGCTGCTTTTAAAATTGAAGTGCCCAGGTTAAAAAATAACCACCACTTTACATAATATACAAACCCCCCTGACTGTACCGACCGAGATCCCAGGCGAGGGTTTGCTGTTAACACACATCCAAGATGCTCCCCAGCAAGAGCTCGGCCAAGTTCAAGGCAGAAGATAAACAGCTTTCTAGAAATGGTCACAGGCCAGAAACTCAGGGGGCCAGCCACGTCGTGCGACATAACGCTGCTGCAAGAGTGACGTGGGGAGGGGGGAGAGCCGAACTGAACGCGCCTGACCCCTGACAGAGGGCGAATAACGCTGGGAAACTTACCCTGGTAGTGCTGCCGGCCGGCAGCGGAAGGGGCAGGAGAGGTTTCTTCTGGGAAATGTAGTTCGCGAAGCGCTTACGCCCCAAACATAAAGACTACAATTCCCAGGCTTCAAAGGAAAAAAAACAAAAAAAAAACAAAACCCAAACGACCAAACCCCGAGTTCCTGACACCTGATAAAGTCAAGCTGAGAACACCAAGAGCTTCAGAGCTGCCCTCGAGGAAACAAGAATAAAATCAGATTTGATACAAATGCGACCAATAGCTTTGATAAAATGCATTGTAGATGGTCGTCTTTATGAAATGCATTTTCTGGTCGCTGGTACTGACAGATTTTAGGCTTAAAATGTGATGAAAGGAATAATGGAAGAAAATCCCACTAAGGAATTCTTATAGCTCAAGAATTCCTGAGATGTAAATAGTTGGTGGCTACAGCAGCACACCGAGCTGATGGGTTTGCCTGGTTCTGCATTCTGCCTTTGGTATCTACCTTTAGCCCCAAGAGAGGTGGACCTGTCTAGCAGTCCTGATGTTCAGAGTGAAGCATGTTTGGGAGGACAGGAAAAGCTTTGGGAGACAGGTGTGGGAAGGGCCCACGGCAGCATTGCTGCACAGATAATGACAGTCTGGTCCATTGCACTGCAGCTGGTGTGGCTGGGCAAACCCACGAGGTCAGTGTGGGATCATCGATCTCTGTTCAGCTTTCAGAGAAGGCATGGAGGAAAAATGAGAGGGCCATGCTTTCTGTCATCTGGGTGGACATCTCCTAAGGCATGGTCAGACACCCTCAGCCACTTCAGGATTGAATTTATTGCCACCAAAGGGCTTGCACCAGTTGTGCAGTTCACCAGCTCCTTCTTGGGCTCTGTTTTTTGCCTTGTCCACTATTGCTTCACTGGAGGTGGGTCTGTGCTGGCGAGCTGACCCAGGGAGACCTGGCAGAAGAGCGCAGGGAGTGCTGGGGTGGAGCGACCACCTCTCCACGGGAAGAGCTAATGGATCAGTGTGACCCAGCATTGCAAAACCGCACACTCCAGCGCCTCGTTGAGCGACTCCTTCCATCCTTCCCCGCTGGTCCTTCCCAGCCAGGCAGGGGTGGCTACTTGTGGTGACTTCTTCGAGTCCGTGTGTGCACGTGGCCCGTGGTGCTTTGTGGAGCTGACACCACGCAGCTAGTTTCCAAACCCAGGGTGGTGCTCACCTTGCTGCCCCGTGTGCCCTGGCAGGGACTGTGCCCCGCTGCTTGCCACAGGTCGTGGTCTCCATAATCCCACAGTAAGCGCTAGGAATTGCCTAGCAATAAGGAGTTTGGTTTGGGTTTTTTTCCCCAAGGATTCGTATTTTTGAGCAGAACAAAGAAATTGGAGGAGGTCCAGACCATGTGGTGCTAGGTGCTCACCTATGTTACACACAGCGGGCTCCTTCTAATAATCCCAGCTGCCTCCCAGCGCGTTCCCCAAACAGCTCGTGCTCCCTGGCCCAAATCACGGCAGGAATCGTTAACCCGTTTCTCCAGCCTCTTACCGTTATTTCACCGCGGGGCGGGGGCCGCGCCGCCCTGCGCGCTCCTTCCGGGGGAAAACGCAGCGATTTTGGGGCAGCTCATTTCCATAGCGCCCTCCC